AACTTCCTCCAACTTGGTGATAAATTATAATAATCAACACTTACTGATTATCTTTATTCGTCTCTGGGAAAGGAGCAAATATATATAGGGCTATTTCCTGTAACAGAAAACTTAAAACTCTCTGAGAAGGATTGCTATGGCTGTCATTTCCTCTGACTAGCACACACATTCTGAATGCTGTCTATAGGGATTTAATATCTGTGGTGATGGTGTAGCTATGATAGTAGGGCCTGGGTATCCGTAATTACTTACTGGAAACAAGAGCAGTTGCAATACAACACCTGGTGGCGCTTACAGAAGTGGGGATCTGGATTGATGGTTTTGAGCCCTGCAAAATGTTACCATGTTTAAGCTAATATTGCACCGTCGTTGTATACACAAATGTGGGCTTCTTAGTGCCCGACAACTTGTCTTTCACAATCCCTTCAAACTGTGTAGCAAGAGAAATGGCTCCAATTAGAGACAAGATATCTCCAGCACCCAGTGGGACGAGATTGGCTTTCCTAGAAGCCCCTTAATAAGTTTGTCAATGGCATCTCACAATTTCCTAACATTACAATAGGATAAGCCTTTTCAAGGAGGCATCACAGGATATTCATTTACGCATCAAAGTTCTTATAGGTCTAACGTTCTTGAAAACTGAGTTAGAGCAGTTGATGGCTTGATTCTTCACTAGGCAACTTTTTGATGCAACTCATCCATAACTGTGTTTCAATCACTAAGTTGTTTCTCGCTCATATGCTCAATAACACCAACTTCTGCATCATCTAAACTCAATATCAGGCCTTTTATCAACTGTCCCAAAGCCCATCCAATCCATGCAATCAATTGCCTGAAACACACCATAAAATACTCTATACGTTTGGTCATTTCTTGGAGTATTGGGTGAAATGCAAGGCAACTTCGTTTGACAAAGACTAAAGCAAATCTGCCGCACACCAGTTAAATCATGAGGAAACTACCTTTGCTTAGAATTATATTTCAATTCTAAGTTCAGACAGAACTCACCAGAATGCCATGACACCCAGGTCAACAGGCAATCCCCATTAACAGAATTGGGGAGCCAGAGTTCCTGACTCCTTTATCTCCATGTTTAATCAACAGATCACACAATTTATTAAAACTAGCTTAATAATGATACAGCAAGTCATCCACGTGTAAAAATTGACAAGTCTTGGGCCCAGCATATAAACACGTGGGAAAAACCGTAAAGGAAAGGTTAGCATAGTTTCATAATTGGGTGTATCATTTTCGTCTAGAATTTGTAATTAAGTATAGAAATCTGCGCTAAAATTACAAAAAGGTATGAATAAAGGTATAGTTCATAAAATCCGCATATCATAAACTTACAGAAATTTGGGTTGCCATTGTGTAATATAATTTAACTATGGCCATACCTCTGGCCTCCCTCACTTTCATACTGTCCGAATTTCTTTATATTAAAAAGTGAGGGAACATATACAAAACTTCAAAATCGATCTAAGACTTGTAACCAAGCAGAAATGTTCTTTACTTTTTTGTTGGCGACCAATCAAATTATTTACTGATGTACAGTGGCTTTGAAGATCACTTCGTTTCTGACAGCGCAGTTGACTAATTTATTGACAGGAAATGTATGAAAATACCAAAGTTTAAACATTTTACGCAGACTATATAATACTGTTAGTCCCCCCAGTGGCTCAGCGGTAAGTCTGCAGGCTTACTACCTAAAAACAGATTTTCGATATTCGTGATGGTCATAGTAGAGACAGCTCCTTGTGTAGCTTTGTGCTTAACAATAGCCAAACCTAATAAAGCATGGGAGTAGTCATGTGCCAAAAAATTAATCAATGGAGGTATGTTTAGTACAAGCGAATATTAATACACACGATCTCGAATGGGTAAGTTAAACTCCAACAAATGTGAATTTCCTCACTTTGATTTTTAGAATACATAAGCTATCCATAACAGACGACGACTATCACATTTTTCAATAGTTTGAACGCTTTTCAAAATCATAAGGAAATATCTACAAAAATATAATGCAGAAATTAACACTCAGATCATGATATGGCCGCGCCTTTATTTATTATTGATTTGACAACTGACTACTTTTAAGCTTTCTGTTGTAGTTAATATGCATTGTAGGTACAGTGTATGTGGGTAATGGATCACAAAGACGACAAACATGACAAATATGGCATGTTCCTTTCTTTCGTTTTTTGTGTTCATCACATACTGTACCAGTTACTACTGTTTCCATGCTTCCTGGTATCCGACTGAAAATCTGAAAGTTGTGATGAAATCAGCTCAACTAATGTAGCTAAACTGTTATACTTATAATTACTATTGCGCTTTTTCGATTATATGTTTCATAATTTGTTTTCGTCAAAATTTTTAGTAAAATATCCCACTTTTTTGTGGCTGCGGGTTTTAAAAATAACGTACAAAATGAAAAAATAATAATTTGGAGACTTGCATTTTTTTTTGTAAGAGTGAGGACTCTTCCTAACGTGAGCTTAAATTATTGTTATGACAGGGGAAGTCACATGACCCTGGTAACACGTAGTGAGTATCTAGAAGGGTCCTGAAGGCTCAAGACGCCCTCTATTTTGTATATATAAGACTGGCATATAAAGCGGAGAGATAATTGCAGACAGATAAAGACGGACAATTGAGTCAAGCGCGGTAGTAAGTAAAATGCATGAATCGTTCGTTGTGAATTATAGCGTGCGTTAAAGTGAAAGTAGCTGTGGAAATTAAGTGTATTGCAAAGTTGAATTGAGAAAGAATAAACTAGTTTTATTTAAGAAAATACTTGTATCGCTGAAGTTTCTCGGAAAGAAATTATACGGAAAATTAACAAACGACCAGAGACGTAACATTATTATACGATTGTATGGTTTGATTACCGTGCCGTAGGGGGCTATGCGCTTGCCGGCGCGGATGTCGTTTGTCGTGTATTAATTGGTTTTGTTTAAATCCAATCGTTATTTAGAGAAAAATGATTAAATCAGGTTACGTGATATACAACACCACAACCACAATACCTCTTCAAACACACTCTAACGTTTGTGTTGCCAGATTTTAAGAATTATTCTACAGAGATCTATGTATGTTACGTATTGCAGAACATTTCAAAGAGGAAGTATTATGGTCCCTATCGTCCTAAGCTATTTATTACAGCAAAGTCCCTATCGTCCTAAGCTATTTATTACAGCAAAATTCAAGTTATTTCATTTTTAGTGATATTATTTGATCAGAGAGATTTAGACGTTGCAACAGATAAACGTGAAAACGGTGAAATCAATAATTGTGCAACTTTCCTCACAATTATTACCACACAGTTGCGTGTATTTTTAAGTATAAGAGGTGTTTGAACTTGTTGGAAATCTAACTTATGACACAATTTCACAAATACTTTGTGAATGTTTTCACAATATACCAAGTACCTTGTTATAACTCCCAAATTATCGACTTGTTTCTTGTTCCCTACCGATGGAAGCCATCCATATATATATTGCATCATATTGGGAAATTTCTACATTTGCTTGTTACAATAATTCTTGTACAGAAATATTAAATTGGATGAAATCCCCCATTTCTTGGATTATATACAGAGAGATTCTCAACAACAATTAATGGAATTAATTGTAATTTTTGTTTACCTTTTTGGTGTAATCCGTATATTATTAGGAATCCTGCGATCAACAAAACCGTTAATACACAAGCTATATGATGTATAAATAGTTAAGAAAAATGTATTTTGAAAACGTTATTTTGGAAATTATGGGTAGTTCTAAGGTTAATAAAACATAGGAAATTACCGAGCTCAGAAGAAGCGAGCTCCTGGAAAGATCATGCAATATTTTTTCCCAAACTTTTCAATAACTATATAATATAAATCATACACATACAAACACGATATGCAAATATTCATTATATTGTAAATCCACTTGTAACAGCCTCAATAAAACGTATTACACTTATATATGTAAATATTTTATTTTGAATCGTAAAAATAAAATCCTATTAAATTATACCAAAACTTACACCCAGTAAATCTAAATATAACGATATTTGCATTTAGGCCTACAAGGTATAACAAAATTCATCGTTAATGTTCATTTCTACTTAATATCCTAGTACACAAATTTAAGCCCCTCGGATACCTGTAAATATATATTATACGTTTCTAGTTTAACGTCACTGCTCATAGGGGATAAACAGCAAATTGCACAGTTTAACTGAAATTTCTCAACCTTCAAACCCGGATGCCTCAGTCCATATCAAATTTGTGTGATAGTTTTGCCTCCTAGGCTTATATAACGTATTAATAATATCATTAGTGGTAAACAACGTGCACAATTACATTGGTATATAGTATAAAATGACATTACAAAAATATGAAACTAAAGATCATGTTACTAAGGTGTGGACTTACAGTTATTGATTATGAGTTTACATAACACATTCCCAACCAGTGAAATTTAGGATAAAACGAATTCTTTAAACTTGAAAACCCAGAGTTAATTTTACTTATTCAGTACATGCATACACGCAAACCAAATTTTGTTTGCAGTAGTGTCTGAATCTAATCAGACTAGTTGGATACGCTGTAATAAAAATACTAGTAATAGGCTTACATTTTGCCTATTACTTAAAACAGTTATCGGAATTTCGTATAAAATTAATGACATTTTAAAACTGGTTAACAAAATTAGACGTTGATTAAAAATTAATCTTTCAGGTCTTATCATGCCATCCTTAAAGTAATCTTGTTTTGTCATGTTTACATTTTAAACAAATATATTTTATTGTCAACGTATATACAATTGCAATACGCATTACGCTAGTCTTCGTATGTCCCAGAAAAACATTTCCGAGAACGTTAAACATAAACCCTTTCGTTAAACCTATTGATTGTACAAGTCTTGGTCACATGCGAGCCTGTCATACTTAAATAGTTTACGTGCTATCACTCAGATACAAAAACATACCGTTTTAAGGTATTTACTCACCAGTTGTGTCAAATGAGCTTCGTTTATTCACAAATACTTTGGCAGAAGTGTGAGGCATACAATTTAATGACATGATAAAATCTAACTTGTCCTCATCTCACATTGGGTGAGTCTGAACTCCACGCCCTTGCATTCGGAGTTAAAACTATAGAAGTACTAAAAGTTGGAATACTGTAACAATTGAAACTAACTTTTGAAAGATAGCCTGGCTGGACAACTTACAAGATGAATAAATGAAGTGAATCCTGCATCGGTCTTAAAGTTAAAGTTAATCCGGAAACTTCGTTATGAAGATGTACTTAGTTCAGTTAAGGTATTTGGTAAGAGATACACTTCATGAATAACAGTACCGCTACAAAAAATTCTGTACATTAATTTACCACTAAAGTGCATTAATCTCCTCTCACAACTGCTGTGAAGACCACCCGCATATTATACATGGATCTCTAAAGTAAAATAGGTCTGCGATAAAGTCTGTCAATAACTTTTGTTAAGTAAAGCACGTGACCAGCTTAGAGTTGATAAAAAAGTACAGAAGCCTAAAAGTACCAAGAAACAAATGCTCTTTCTTGTGATATTTGAGTATCGCGATATCTAGTAATCATAATCAAACTTTTGGGAATCTCGTGGTTTATGAATATAGACGTATTAAGTCTGTTACGTATTAAGAATTTGAAATTGTCCGGTATATATATATATACAATTTAATTTTAGTTGTATCGTATTCTGGATTTAGTATCTTGAAATATGCTGATTTTTTAGTTAATTTACGCTATTTGCCAACAAGATTGATACACACCGTTTTCGTTTTTCACACAAATATGTTTTAATATATATACAACAGTATAATTTACAATAACAATTATTATGACTAGTTACTACAAACAAAGTTTCATGAACAGAAATTTCACTAACTTACAAACAATATACAAATCTTTTTTGTAAATTGTAATTCCCTTAATATCTAGCGAGGTAACTTTAAGTCAATGTACGTACTGTTACGATAGTGGAAGTCACGCGACGCTTGAAGCATGAGCGCTGGAGTCTCTAGAAGGAACATGACTGTTCCTGGCAACTCTAGTCTTTTGTAGGCGCCCTCTCTTTTTGTATATAAGTCCGGCAAATAAAGCGGAGAAAAGATTGCAGATAGATAGACAGAGATAGAGACAGATAATTGAGTCAAGTGAGTGGTAGTGACAGAAATATAAAGTGTGTGTTTTGTTATCGAGATTGAAAACGTATTGACAGTGGAAATTCTGTGTATTATAAAGTTGTATCGAGAAATAATAAACTAGTTTTAGTTAAGAAAGGACTTGTATCACTGAAGTTTCTCGGTAAGAATTTCTACGGGAAATTAACAAATGAACAGAGACGTAAGAGTACGATTGCCGGGAAGCTAGCTAGCTTTGTCTCATTGGTCAACACACTGAATTGTTGGTCTGTTGAAGTAAGATAATGTTTTTATAAAACTACTAATGTTCAATGAGAATCCAGTAATATTTTCGGAAATATACTAACGTCCAGTCCGATGAGGATCCACTGATGTTCGAAATTTATAACTGTTCCTGGTCAAATGTCTTAATTTTTTCGATTGATGAGTGTTATAAAAAGCTTTCTGAGTTTTTAGCACACTGGACGACTAATAGGCTCTCTCTTTTGGCGTGTCGCGTTTATTGTTTTTATAGGCGCGGGAAATGTGTTCTCGAAAATTCCGACAACAATACTGAGCTATATTTAACCGGTTACGGAAGTGGATATATTGTCGCTTCTTACGTTCACGAATATTCTATAACCTTGGAGAATTGGCGGGAGTTTCGCAGTACATAAGTAACACTGTTAGCTAGGTACGTTTTTAAATATAAACTCAATTCAGACAAACGTTGACATGAAAATAAATATATAGTTACACGCAATATATATCTAACACTGTAAGTTAAGTATATTTTTAAATACAAATTTAATCTAAACAACGTTGATATTAAAATAAATACATAACGACAAACTCGTTACAAGTCGAACTGAGAAAAATGCATACAGGTATAATAGAAGTCTTTGTATTTTTTGATTGATTTATCAATTTGTTTTTCAACCTCACCAAACGATATACATACGTGTATTTGTAAAGCAGTTAATATAAATTACTATACAAGATTTAAATGACTTACACATAACTATCTAAATAGTGGATGCTCTATCAAGATACTGTATCACCACACGTGAGTCGATCTATTCACTTCTGTTAACATCATGGTTAAGTAAATACAGGTAAATCAGGTTATACTAATGCTATTCTATTCATATTCACAACAACCTGATTTACATTTTATACTGAGAAAAAACACAACTCTTTCACTACACATGGAGAAGTCATATACACAATATACCGAGGAGTCTGGTGAGTATTATACATTTGATCTTGACAGCTCTTGGTACTTGGCTCAACATATGTGTGTGATTTTCAAGGAAATTCAGATGGCCTTTTTGTCATAGAAAATCGCTCCTTACCTTGGGAAGTAAGAACTATAGTTCCCTTTCAGCTGAGTTTTTGAACTCCTAGCAAACATTCTTAGTCATGGAAACCGTTGATTTTCGAGACATTACTTCCTGACACGACCTATTCTGAATGTGTAATAATCAAGTATCTCACGTCCAATATTCTACACATATTTTGAAGTAAACTCTACTCAAAAGATTAGAAACACCCTTTTGGTCCTGTGCATCTTGCAATTAACAAGCTGTCCAAACTTTGTGATGATTCAATTGCAATCACAAAATGAAGTGCACACATTTCATTGAAAAATACTCATGGGGAGGGTTAGACAGGCTTGAGCCTCCTTTTCAAATAAACTTTTAAAATGTATACAAAAGCTATATACCACGAAAAGTCTTGTTTAGATAGTTGAATGCTTAGCTTTAATCTAAACTACTTATATTTTATAATGTACACTGAAGACATTTATCGACTATGAATTGAATGTCTGTCATGAAATTTCATCCGGTATCTCAGAGATCAAGAAACACCACTTCTTTTCAGTAATTGATCACAAAATCAGTAACTGTTCCAACTGCCGTCTGGCAGTTAATTCCAGCCATTGTGATCAAGAGGTTACTGTTCGCATCTTGATTGAATACTACAATTATCTAATATCTTTTCTCCAGGAACTTCCTTATCTGATTCATCTTGCACAGCCTGATAAGTACTTTCAGCTTCTTTTTCTCCATCATTTGACCTTAGATAATAAAAAGTACTCTCTCTCTGATTTCTGGTTAAGCTAGTGTACAAGAAGCTCATCAATAACATATGATCCTAGCTTGTTGACGTGTTCCAAGCTGCTTACTTACTGGTGGTATGCACCACAGCTTGATCCAGTTACCTTGACTGTTTTGCCGTAACATCTCGTTTGCCACTTGGTGGCCTTTAATAGCTGTTGTCATACAAATCCATGCATTTGGAACAATGTAGACCTTACTCACTCCATATATTGTTACATATTATGTGGTACATTTGTTCTAGAGGCAGTCCATATGTCATGTCCAAAGGAAGCAATATTTCCAAACCAAATCTATGTCTGTTCTGTTGCACAATAAGCTATCATGGTATATGACAAGTGTTTGTTTTAGTCAGTTTGGCTGGAATTAAGAAGCTTTACAAGCATTTGCTTAATATTTTGTGTCACCACTCTGCCAAATCATCAGACTGAAGTGATAAGTCAAAATGTGTATATTCACCACATCCAACACTTTGCACAACACAGGAACTAGCTGGCTATTGAAATAAGCTCTGTCGTGCATGTGAATTGTTTCAGGTATGATAAATTGGGGTATCTAGCATTCCACCAACACATCAGCTATGGGCTGGTCTGAAGTATAGACCAATTAATATAACTGATTCCATTTAATGAAATAATGGATAATGACCAACACATAATGATTACCTCACTCAATCTCAAGAAGAGGACAACCAGCATGTAGGACTATTCTCTGTAAAGGACAACCAACAATTGCCTTCTGAAATTTACTCTCTCTAGGTAGGCTGGCTTTTACTCTCAGCAGCGCTGATGCCAGCGGTTAATGCTTTATCTCAAGTAAAACCAGAGAATATCTTCATTTAATATTAGCACAAATACATGCAATACCTTTGTGCATTTTAGTTCTTGCATTAAGCAATGTCTGAAGAATGTCCTATTTCATAACCTTGGGAACCAGCAGTTGCAATGTACATGCCTTCCTGCACTTGTAGCTGCTTTTACAAGTGCCACAAGTAATGTGTGTCTATCTTACATTCCTCGATCTGCATTGGCAATTCTTCACCTGGCAGTGAACACCCATGCATGTTCTGGATCCTTAAGTTGCTGATCTCAGAGCTACTAGAATTTTAATCATGACATCCAATCACAAGTGGGATCTCCTATCATATGATTTGATGTTGTTACTATGATAGAAATTGCTTTAACTCACACCACTTCCAGGGTCAAGACAATCAATGGAAGGACTGGGTCTCACATTATGGCCAGATAATCCATTGGAATTTCCCTGTTGTGGGCCCAGATGATGCCATATAACAAAGTCATGCTCCTGCTATGTTTTGATCCAACATGCAATATTTTTTTTTATGGATCTTTAAATTTCACAATTCACCTGAGCAATGCATGGTCCACTCTAAGAGTGAACTTTCTACTATGCAGGTATTGTCAGTAGTGTTTGACAAAAACCACAACTGCAAATAGTTCTCTCTTTTCGTGCAGTAATGGTATTCAGAAGCTGTGAGTGTACAACTATCACATATTATCACAAATTCTACTTCATTCTGCGACTGCAGTAAGAATATCCAGTTCCACTACCATTGGCATTAGTATCCAATAACAGCTTAATTTTTTGTTACGGGTGTATTACACAAACTAAATGTAATAACCAAGTGCTGAAAGCAGTTTTGGGTTTTGACATTATTCAGATGCTGAATCTAAAGTGTCGAACGATTGAGCACCTTCTCACGCATCCAAATATGCATTTGCCTGTGGGAGTGGAAAGGCATTAATGCAAATTACTACATTCACCCATCTGAAATCAATATGGAACCTTGATTTACCATCCTTTTTTTTTCTGACAATCACTACTAAATGAGGCCATGAACTCCATGAAGACTGTTTGCTTCTGTACTTTAACATCCACTGTATTTAAGCACTGGCTCCATCCCTAGTGCTCCATGGAAGCCTTCATCGAAGTTGTTTAGTTGTACATTCATCGGCTGTATGTATGTGATAGCATATGATTTTTCTTCAACTCAGATGAATATACGGTTCCATAAATACATTGACATACTTGACCAACAGGTAACTGAGCTTTTGGCATTGTATTGAAACAAACTTGCTTGCACAGTCCTCAAATAGTGACT